GAGCGGGAGACAGGATAGACGAGGAATGGGGATGAAGATATTTTTCGAAAGGGTGAGGAGGATGCTTTTGAAAGAGGATTGGGATGGGGACGATGCTGGGCGCTGGGTCATGAGGAGATTGTACGAATCGTAATAGAAGAGATGCTAATGGCTGATAGATGCATACACACTTTCCGGCAAAGACCCCGAGGGAGCCTTCCCTATTGTTCTCGGACACGAGGGTGCTGGTATTGTTGAATCTGTCGGTGAAGGTGTAACATCTGTTAAACCAGGAGATTACGTTGTCGCGTTATAGTATGTATTCAAAAAGCATCTGTTTCATGCACCGCTAACATCTCTCCAGTACCCCAGAATGTAAAGAATGTAAATTCTGCAAATCTGGCAAAACCAACCTTTGCGGAAAAATCCGTGCAACTCAAGGAAAGGGTGTCATGCCAGATGGTACATCCCGTTTCAAGTGCAAGGGTAAAGATCTCCTCCACTTTATGGGAACATCCACTTTCTCTCAATATACCGTCGTTGCCGATATTTCCGTTGTCGCTATCACCCCAGATGCTCCTATGGACCGCACTTGTTTACTTGGTTGCGGTATTACTACCGGTTACGGAGCTGCTGTCGAAACCGCCAAAGTCGAAGAAGGATCTACTGTCGCTATCTTCGGTGCCGGTTGTGTTGGTCTCAGTGTAATTCAAGGAGCTGTTCAAAGAAAGGCTTCAAAGATCATCGTAGTCGATGTAAACTCATCCAAGAAGGAATGGGCTGATAAATTCGGTGCCACCGATTTCGTTAACCCAACTGAATTGAAGGGTCAAAGTATTCAAGAGAAATTGATCGAAATGACCGATGGTGGTTGTGATTACACTTTTGATTGCACTGGAAATGTTGGTGTTATGAGAGCTGCTTTGGAAGCTTGTCATAAGGGTTGGGGTCAAAGTATTGTTATTGGTGTTGCTGCTGCTGGACAGGAGATTAGTACTAGACGTGAGTTATTCCCTTTTTTTTGCCAGCAGCCGATATTCTTACAAGATACAAATCACTGACATCTCTCATAGCATTCCAACTTGTCACTGGACGTGTCTGGAAAGGTTGTGCATTCGGTGGTATCAAAGGTCGTTCCCAATTACCTCAATTGGTCGATGATTACATGCAAGGTAAATTGAAGGTTGATGAGTTCATTACTCACAGACAACCTTTGAAGGGAATCAACCAAGCATTTGATGATATGAAGAAGGGTGATTGTATTAGATGTGTGGTTAATGTGAGAGAATGACTCCCGGGCACGGAGAAGGAAAATGAAAAGGCTAGGTTGTGAGATATGAGAGAAATGAAAATGTATATGAAAGGATCACTGAAGTCCAGGGTACGATTTTGTGATGTTGAGTTGTTCATTTGATTGTGTGGATGTGTGGATTTGCGAATGATTTTTTGTTGGATTTGGATTTGAGTTTGGATCGGCTATGCTTGATGTACTTACTTACTTGATGATAGGATTATATTGTACATGGTATGCGTATTTTGGGAAATCTCACAATTTGACATGTGATTCCGCGGGCTCTTATCTACTATATCTTAGGTCTCGGAATGAGATTCCCTTCTGTTTGATTCATCTATCTGTCCGTGGTGTTTGAAGTTCTGTGAAGGGGGGCGGGGGTGATGTGTTTGTAAGGGAAAAGTAATCCTCTACATTCACAGAAAGTACGATTAAATGGTTCTTTCATTATTTGATCATGAGTATCTATTATACAGTAAAGCGGTATCCAGGATTCTGTGGAAGACTGCTAGTGCATTATTTACCTCCGAAGAGAATAATTCCAGAGAACTAATATGTCGAATCTCTTACAAGTAATAGATATACCTAGTTTTGGGATCTGTTTCACAAGAGACCTGGATCTATTTGTTTGAGGGAGATAAAAAGTCATGATTATTTTCATATTTGATTATGAGTATCTATTTTACAATACGGTATCTAAAAACCCATCTGGGAGAATGCTAGTGTATTATTTATCTCCAGGGTAAAAACAGCCTCGGGAAACTACCTATCTAGTGACATCAAATTCTCTAATAATACACAGTAACCCCTCACATTTCTTCGCCATCTCTTTATCTGCGAGTTTCCTAATGAGAGAAGAAAAGGAAAATTAGCAGAGTTCATTCTTGACGAAGTGATGGGGATCGTTTACTCACCCACGACGAGACTTCAACAGGTTCCGAAGCGGACCTTGGAGGTTGCTCGTAAGTCGCTCTTGCGACATGTGTATCTGTACGTGCCGTCTCGGAAATAGATCGCGCGCTGGGTTGTGTGTCGATGTATTCTCGGGGTGGGGGCCGGGATGGTTCGTCTCGCATGCGTTCTTCGGTGAATCTACTTGTGAGGGGTTTGGGTTTTGAGGTGGGGAGAGAGGGGGTGGAGGGGGTGTTTTGGTGTGTGGATGTGGATGAGGATGTGGATGACGGTGTCATGGTGCGTAGGAGGTTGGGGTTTGAGGTGGCGAGGATGAGGTGTTGGGGGTCGGAGTGCTTCAAGTGGAGTGAATATTTGAGTCTGGAAGACAAGCGTTGATGATATCTTGTTTGATTCTTCTGATAGTTCAGGAAAGAATGAAAAGAAGAATATGGATGATGTTTTTTACAAATTCCTAAGTCCATAGACGACTGCAAAATTCGTTCTCGGATCTCTTGTTTGATTCTTCTGATAGTTCAGGAAAGAATGGAAAGAAGAATATGGATGCATGGATATGAGAGTAAGACGCAGAACCTATATGCTCATAGTCGGTTCCGAATCAGTGACTGTTTGTGAGTGTATAGTCATATATATTAGCAATAATACAATCACATGAATCTTGTGACTCTGGGAGTGAATGGGGGCAAGTCATGATTGAGAAAATGAATGTTTGGGGTATGTTTTTTTCTTGTCTTTCTTGTCTTGTTTTCTTTTTGAGAATTGGATGGGATTGTATTGTATTGTATTGTTATACAATCTCAGGGTTTGACAGTGTAATGTATACTATATAGAAAACTGTTTATGGAAATACAAAAATAAATTGATTATTAGATCATACATAATGGTATAATTTGATATATTCCATATTGGGTTAGGATTATTAGAAGGATTGCGTGATGGATATTGATAGTTTCAATAGGATAGTTGATGTGTGATTTTTAGAGGATTTTCATTTCTATACACTAGTGATTTATCTTATCAAGAGTGATAGATTTAATGTTTTTTATTTCTGATGTGTTGGGTTTGTGAAGTTGGGCTGTATAGTGTTGGTTCTGGGAAATTTGTATATAGAGAGATTTGTATATAAGGAATCTGTGTATAAGAAATCTGTCTATAATAACACCATATCTAATACCCCTCTTCCATTATAAACATCCCTCATAAACATCCCTTATAAACATCCCTCATCAAAGCCCCCAAGTATCTACTCGGTACATTATATACAAAATACACCACACACATCATATACATGGTCTACATAATCACACATCCACAACACGAACCATCTCCTACTTGCACTGGCGCTTTTTCCTGAAAGGAAGGGAGTTAGTAAATTAGATATCTAGATTTATATATGGGTATATGAGTAGGTAGTGGAGGAACTTACAGGTGGAGGAACAGGTTTACGCTTGATCTTATGTTTAACGGGTGGGGGTGGGTCCATTAAATCTCTTGGTGGTGGCTTGATGGGTCCACCGATGTCTACTTCGGTAAACTTGCTGACACGCGCCTTATGAGACATGGTGTGGTGTGGGAGGTTGGAGTTGTGGGTTGTGAGGTAAGAGGGGTGAGTTTTGACGATGTGGTTTGATAAATATTGGCGGAAGATTTGGGGTGCTTTAGTGAGGTGTCTGGAATTGAAAAGTGCGAAATCGTTTGATATCTGTCAAGTTTAATGAGCTTGAATGTACTGTTTAATCCGGGATGTAGTGTTCTGATTTGGGAAAGTTCTCTAAGCTTTGAGCTGTGGAATTATATATTCCTTATTACTCATGGGATATGATATGAGTCCGGGGTTTGGTGGTGTATAGTCATAGTTGGGGGTGATGATTGTGAGTCCTAGATTATTTCAGGTGGTGACTGATGGAGGTGACTGGGGAAGTGACTGGAGAAGTGACTGTTTAGGAAATGGGTTCGTGGTTTTCTACAAGAGCGGGAGGAGTTTTGATTGGAAGGTTTCATTTTTCCTATAGAAGTTTATGGAGATAAAGCGAGTCCATCTCTATATTGATTCTCGGTCCTAGCTGTCTGGTCGATTGATGTATAGTGTACTCAGAAGGTATGCTAACAATCTATTTTGCGTCACATTCGCAACATTCACTAGATTTCTGTTAGTCAGAGTCAGAACCGTCTTTGGCTTCTTTGCACACTTAAATTCTGGAAATATATCATCTCCTAAAGGGGGGCTTCGGGACCTTCAATACGAATAGAGAATAGAGTTCTACTTTTGATTCTATACTTAAAACTTAATTCCACGGGCTGTATCGCGGGAAATGATTTTCCATGATTTCCTTATTAGATTAGGAAGATTTGAGCTTGAGATTCTCGTCATCTCATCTCGTTGTCATTATTCACGGCTGGCAATAGGGCGATAGGGCTGAAGGGGTAAGTAGGAGTGTCTGAAACGAGTTGCTTTAGACATACCTAAACCCCTTTCCAATCAGATTAAATTTATCATAAAGAGATCCATTAATTCTATGGAAATCTATCTAAACAACGATTGCTTATTGTACAGATCATTCATATCCAAAACACTGATGCTAAAGTCGAGTGACATTGGCGATTTCAATGTACCAACACTCCTCAAAGTGGAACATCAGATAATTCCATAAAGATTCCAAAGGTACCCACCCCCGCCAAATCCTACCCGCAAGATTACTAATGAGAATGCAATATTGACTATGCTCAAAGAATCATAGTTTCCATGATGCGAGTTATATCTTCCACCAGCGACGTTTCTTCTCAGTCTCCTTTCCCTATCCGAAAAAGTCAGCATGCTTTAAATCTCATAACGCATTGAGGATAATACTTTACTTATTAAACAAGGTCGTAAAGGCGGACGCGGGTTGACTTTATCTGAAAGTGGCTGCGGTGATTTCGGGGGAGGCCTTCGTTTCTTGAGGGTGTTTGGGACTCCCGGCGAAGGCTTTTCTTGAAAGTGGACAGTTCTTTGGGGTGATTTGGGAGTGAGTGGTGTTGGGGGCTTGGCAGTGAGTGGTGTTGAGTGTCTGTGAGATCTTGATGATGATGATGGTTGATTTGATGTCGGAAATCGTTCTAGGGATCCTGTTTCTAACCGGACGTTATTCTCTGAGGATCTGGGAATATTTGGTGCTCGAGATCTGTAAGGTCTTGCTGATGAAGGTATAGGTATTGCTGCCGGTTGATGCGATGAGCGCGTTATTGGGACTCCTCTTAGAGATCTTGTTCCCGACTGACTAATGTTTTCTGATGGGCTGGGAGTAACTGGTATTCTAGGTCTCTGAGATCTTGCTAATAATCGTTGGTGCTTTTCATATGCATCTCGGCGATCTTGCGCTTCTAGACTGTGATATTCATTTTCTAACATTCGAGCTTGGAATTGTTCAACTGGCGCATGTATCCTGCTGGATCCGGGTCTTGAATGAGAAGCTTCCGAAATTGGCATCGAGGATCTTTGTGATGGTTCATGACAGATTGAGCCTGCGACGGACTTATGTCTCTGCACTTCGCTTGCTATTACTGTTTGTGGCCGAGCATGCTTGGTTTCCTCTACACTTCGTTGTAACTTCTGATATTCTTTTGTTGGCCGGTAGTGATCAAATTCGGGGAATTCCTTCATATGCGCTTCGAAACTGGTTGTCGTTGCCGCTCTGGGTGGTCCTGATCGGAAACTGTTTTGCGAGGAAGATGATTTCTCTCGCAAATGCGGCTTGGGGGGATTTGCTTGGAGTGGAATATTTTTTGTCTGTGGTCGGACAATATTGGGGCTCTTACCAATTCCCACTTTTATATTCTCGTCGAGCTTGTATTGATGTTTTTGCAATGGCTTTCTTGGTATTTCAAATGCCTTTGGAGGAAATGGATATCCGTAAGTCTTGCGCGTTTCTGGAGATAGATTATTATAGTAATCTGCTTGCTTCTTTGAAAATGTCAAGGCTGGTAGTGGCGCTGGTGGGTCTTGAGAATCTTTTGTTTTTGAATACGACTGTCGAAGTTCTTGTGATAGCCTAATAGGAGGAAGCTCCCTAATACTGGTCAGATCCGCTTGGGGAGACTCAAAGTATCCTCCATTTCCTATGAATGTGAACCAGTCAGTTTCTTTCTCTGATAACCTAGAAGTCTGGGATCTTTCCGTACGTGAAGACTTCTTTCTCGGCTTTGGTATGAAATCAGCAGCGACTTTATATTGCCAAGCTTCAATTTGCTTTTCCTGGTGCGTGTAGGAGTTTTCCATTAGTGAAGGCTTTTTTCTCGGCTCTGGAATGAAATCAGTAGCGACTTTATATTGCCAAGCTTTAATATGCTTTTCCTGGGGCGTGGAGGACTTTTTCTGATAACGCTCAGGTTGTAGAAAGCGTAGTTTGGAGCGTAGCCATGATTGCTTGACAGCCTTATCATTTGGAGCTGGCTTATTCGCCACTTTGGACTTTTGGATTGGATTGGGTGGCATGGTGTGATACAGAAAAGTAGTGGGAAGGAGGGGCGAAAGATCAAGGGTATTACAGGTATGTGGATCTTGCGAAGTAAATGTAGTAAGATAGGTGTGTATGGAGATATCGATGTTGGTGCAAAATTTGATTGATTTTTGAACTTGATTGTTGTATGAATTGTGGGAAAGTTCCCCAATCGATGGAGATGGAAACTATAAGCAAATTCCTAGGTAAGGACTATGAATAGTTGGATTTTCTTGGTGTGTAGTCACAAGAGACCCCATGAGGCTCAAAATAGAGTCGCTTATGACTCCTGAGATTATGGCCATGTGTAAAGTACCCTATGAGTGAACGGTTGAATAAACGAAGAGTTCTTGACATGATGTGCATATGAATCATGTATCGCTTGGGAGTGAAATGTCATAAGTATTACAATTATGAGTCCTGGAGTACGTAGTCGGAGGAAATGACTGGGAAAAATGACTCGGACTGCTGGAATATGAGAAAGAATGAGTTATATAATGAAAGGATAGGATAATTGTGGCATATAGTCCTCAAGTCTTAAACATAGTCACATCAATGCTTGAGAGCGTAATTTACATCCACAGTTTGGATTCAAGGAGATCAGTCTGGGGTTTTTGGTAGAAGAGGTTCCTAAAAAGGTGTGAAAAGCAACGATTGTGTATTTTACAGTCAATCTATATCTTATATCCATGTTCTCAAATACCACACTATCAGAAAACCCTCACATTTCCCATGAAAAGCCATATCCTCGGAGAAAACACAGCATTGACACCACGCGCAAACGGCCATATGCGGAACTCCGTCTTCAGTCTACATTACCGAACAGCATCCGCTTTCTTTCTACCAAAAAGTTAGTGTACTCATTCTGTTTGAATAAAGAATTGATATGTTACCTCTCCAGGATGTTCTCTAGAGACAGAATCTTGGAAACTCCCTCTAATCTGCATCTTTTCGAAGCTATCACCGTTTCGACCATATTTATGCTTTTTGACGGATGGTCTATTTCTTGCGATATTAGATGTTGTGGAGTTTGTGTGCTTGACTTTATTAGGACCTTCAATTCTGGTGATGTCGGCGAGAGGATAGTCCAACGTCATAATTGCACTTGGAGTTTGTGTGATTTCTGGATTTTGAGAATTTGGGGACTGGATCGTGGATTGGAAGATGAGGATTGGGCGATGACGATACGAAGTCTTGTGATTTAATTGAAGTGCTTCAAGTAAGTAGATTGTGTGAGCCAGACATGTGAGAGGAATAATGCTGATCAATGTATGTAGGATTCGACCCAAAGTTATTCAGCATTCGAGTGTTTGTTTCGTTTTGGTTTCTTGAGCACATCTGCAGCAGAAGGAGAACTAGTTATCCTAGAATCGATATTCCAATGAGTCACATTAGGGTTTCCTGATATGAATCATAGACATGACTACTATTGTCGTTGTGAGTAATGGAGGAAATGACTGGACGTAACGACTGTTCAGGATACTGCTTTTGCATGAGAGATGAAAGGGCAATAAGAGTCTTGAGAAGGCATGGAGGCTATCAATATCAATCAATAAGCAGTGAAACGGCCCCTTTGGGCTTCTCCAATTCTTCTAAAGCAACGATTGTATATTATACAGTCTAAAAGTATCCAAAACTCCAGTGATATCAACAACTCGCCAGACTACCTCACCAGAACCTTAATGAAATGCAGCAATGACCTACGCCATAAGACCATTTATAGAACCCTACATCACTAAGCAGCACCCTCCTTCTTCACTGCTGGGCTTCTACCAAAACGATTAGTGTCATTCCTATATGTACGAAAAGAATAAACAGCTTTCACTTCACCTTCTGAGGTGCCGGTTTAGAAACATATGGCTTGCGTTGAGCCCATACTGGCGGTCCCAAATCTCTTCTCGCTGCTCGATGGTCTCGATAACTATGATGCGATTTCCCCCACAAATTAGGCGTCTCACCCATGGGGGTTTGTCCATATGTCGAAATAAGACTGACTGTTGGAGACGGCGGTGCTGGTTTTGATACTTGTCGTTGTTGTTGTTCTTGTTGTTGTTCTTGCTGTTTTTGTACGAGGTATTCATGAGCACTAGGAAAGGTATCTCTGACAAACGGAGACCTATAACTGGCTGAGTCTTTAGGAGGTGGACGTTTGACAAAATCACACGAGGCCTTCTGGTGTGAGGGGAACCAAGGTTGCTCGTGGCATTGAGGGAAAGAAAAGCCAGGGTCTCGTTCTTCTGGCTTTAAGGCACATTGAGTGTCCCGGCCACCCCTGAGTTGTGAAGATGACATTTTCTTTAGATTTGAGACTTCGTGGATTGGATATCAAGAATCAGAAGTGAGGACTATTAGATCTATGGTAATAAAATTGTGTGAGTTCTGGTGCTTAATTTGAATTACTTTGAGTAACTTTGCGTGGAAGTTGGTAATCGTATGTGTGCTTGATGAATTTGAATGTTTTGCTGTGGAAGTTGTACTTCTTGATTCGTTCCCAAAGAGATGGAAATACATTTATATACACTCCATCAATGCGGGCTATGAATCAAATCAGTTACGGTTATGATATCCACAGTCATAAATACAAGTCCTCAAGATATTACAGTCATGTAAAGATGACTGGGGGAAATGACCAGTTCGTTTGTTCATCCCACGCACAGTTTGAAGCCATAGCAAACCAGTCACAATCTTTAATAAATGGTACGAGACTACGAGTCCATTCATGCTATAAAGATCGTGGACTCAGCTAAACTCCCGAAGAGAAAAGGAAACGGTTATTGTTAAGAAATACAGTAGAATCAGCAACTTCACCGATATCAATACCGTGCTCTCATGGAGATATACTCCTGAAACATTGATATATATCATCAAAGCCATGCCCAAAATGCCACATTTACCAGTACATATGTTGTACCACTTGAGCCACGCCTTTCATCGCCGCAGAACAACCCTTTCTTTCAAGAAAAAACTAGCTTTTTTCTCACACTTACCAAGACAAAAATAGAAGGAAAATAAATGAAAATTTCCTCATCTTTCTACTCAAAAGAACGGTGGCAATTCTCGTCCGTGACGGCTCGTAATTCAGTAAAGACGGTCTGTCCTCGTTTTAAGACCAATCTTTGTTCCTTTCGAGAAATCAGGGATTTGTCGCATGGGATCATCTTGTGAGGGTGGCATGATAAATGATTGTTGGGTTGAATCCCGATGAGAGAGTAAAGGCGATGAGGCGGGTAATGCAGAAGATTCAGATGTCGTTGAAAACCCGATTTGACGTGTGCAAAAAGAATGACTGTCGATAAGCATCTGCAGGCAAATCAACATGGGTTTCGAAATTCGAACAGTGCGCTTTGAAGTTGAACTTTGCATTCTCGAGTGATTTTAAATGCTAATACCAAAATTTGTATGCTACTTGTGGCAATTAAATGGGTTATATCGATGTTCGTGGGAGAGTTAAAGGGAACGAGTGAAGCAACGAGTGAACTTCAAAAATCAGCTGTCATTAGGAGTCACAATATAGGATGAGGGGATACATAGCCTTCATAGTTGGCTCCTGTCGAGTTGATGATAATATAACAAATTCGCGAAAACTATGCTATGAGAAGAGCGTGCCTTCCGAATTTCTTGATTTTCCGCCCAAATTTCTGCTTTTAAAATACATATATTACAAAGTGCCTCATAAATTCTCTTCCGCAGTCCGCGCCGGGGTATCTATTTGTAGTTCACTTTTACCTCCTTTCTTATACGCCGACTCTGCCCATTAACCGTTTTGCCATTGGAATTATTGCCCCTTCTCGCAACAAATACCATATTCTGATTTCGTCAAGCTCCGCATTCCACAACTCCGACTAGAAGTACCAATTTCCTTCCAAATCTGTGTTCAACAAACCGTCAAAAAACATCGTATTATCCACTTGTAAATTGGACCAATCATCTATTTGTTGTTCCGGCTCCAACGGTGGAAACTGACTACTCTTAAAGGAAACAATAGGTTGAGCAGCAGACCATGGGCAATTATGTGAATTGTCAAATTCATTCTGCGAGTCTCCCGGTGTCATGTTTGGTATAAGAGACGGAGTCGTATTCAAAGATTGAGCATCGATAGAAGGAGTTGATTGGGTGATATTTGTAGCGGGTGTTGAGGATACAGGTGTGCGTGCTATTGAAATTGTGCCGAAATAAGGGATTGTGAGACGAAGATTTCCACTTGTGCTGGTTGATGCCAGAAGGGTTTTAATAACTTCGACACTTTGGGTGGCCATTACGTCATCTTCTGAAGCGCATTCGCCCATGACACCCAAGACGGTTTCAACAAGCTCCCTGTCAGTTCTTTTTTGGGTTTGGACTGCAATTGTGTCGCCGCCTACTGGAGGAATTTCCAGTATGCTCAAGAGAAGAGTTACGCTTGCCGTGAAAGCTCCAAAATCGACCACCTTGCAACAAAAAGATTTCGTACCTGAGCGTCTGATGGTGAGATAGCGGGATATGATTTCTCTAGATGATTTGAGACAAGTAAATTTACTATATTCGTAACGACGTTCGGTAGCAGCTCGAACCATAAATGGTAAGTGTAAGAATGATTCCAGTTGAAAGTAATAGATTTGTGACATGATTCGATCAAATTTTGCGGCGGAGCTCGGATCTTTACTGACGGTCTCAATGTAACTTGGCACTTCCCACCAAGATGCAGGCATTCCCCTACCAATATTTTCGAGTTTCTCGTCAAGGTCTTGAGTACTGGCAAATGCATGAATATAGTCGGATTGATTTCTCTCGATAATTCCTCCAGCCAAATTTGTAAGTTTTCTGATGAATAGAACGTCATGGTCGATGTTAGGATTGCTAAAAGTTTCTTGAGATAAGATCACACTATCCTCCGCTCCAGCTGGCATGCCTAAGAGTAAACTCAAGTATCTGTCTGCCTGCATCAAACTTCTCCAAAGGTTGACTCCTCCAGGTGGTAAAGGTGTAGTACTAAGCTCTTCGCGTTTATGGAGACCCATAAGCTGACCGATATTCATAGCTCGACGGAATGTAAGCCATGCGCGACGTAAATTCCCCGCATTCATGTGAAACAATCCTTGGAGTACTAGACATTCCAGTCCCTGAACAGAAGCTACAAGTTCGTCATCCGAAGTCACGAGCCCTGACACTGTCGATATGATCTTATCCACTCGAGCTTCGATACTAGTGGTAATTCCTAATAGGCTTGCGTCGTATCCATGAGGTACTTGCTGTAAGCATACAGCCATGTAAAGAAGTATTTGAGCTATCATTGCGGGACTTTCTTTTGCGATGCTGGGCACATTGAATGAATGATTCGGATTAAATGCCGATGGTTCTAGCATAATATGAGCTGAGTGGTTTGTCAAAGAATGCATTAACAACCAGCAATCGGAGAAAGAGCAAAGGATATTCGTAGCTTCCTGTGATGGAAGAAGTTCCATCAGAACATCTTTGATCCTTTCAATCTTCGTTGGTATGCGACATTGCTTAGTTGTCTTTTCGCCACCTGGTTGAGATTTTGGGGTTGTGATCTCAGATTGACTTTCCTTTTCTCGGCGACCTAGCTTCAAAGGATGTGAGCAAATATATCATGTGGGATGTAGAACCACTCACAACAGGATTATCAAAAAGGGAAAGAATAGGTACAGTTGTAGCACTGTCATATCCATTTGAGGCGTTGTTTGCAAATGGTGCGAGAACATCACCAGTACCCATGCTTTCCGGAGTGTGGATCTTAGTCGCGTTATCTTGTTCTTCATATTGTTCCATTTTAGACATCAATTTACCGAGAACAAGCTCTATACGACCAAGGCGTTCACCAAGCTGAGGACCACCTGAAGAGTCATGTTCTTCTGGATATTCTTGACTTATACAAGTCGTTCCACGTGAGAGGCAACCAGAACAAACGCTGACGTTCTCAGAACTCAATTGGCACTTGACTTTTCTTCTTTTGCATTCCCAACAACTTTTAGTTCCTTTTCTAACACGCTTCTTACGATGTTCATCTTCCGCTAGAGCTACTGAAGCTGGTCGAACAGACATTTTGGATAGTGCGTAGTGGAAAGTTCCAAGAAGCTTGAACGTCCCTCGAAGTTTGAATCTTGCAACGAGCACAGGGGTCGATAGCTGGTAGTGGGGAGGGATGTCAAGCTATCTCCGAGTTGCTGGGGTAGGTGGATCTGTACTTTTGCGCTATCAACAGCAACTTTAAAAGTCTGTTTGATCGCCGCAATATAATAATATGATTTGTCTTTTGATGTATAATACGGAAAGAAGATGGGGCTTTTTGAACCTTGGGAGTCTGTCGAAAGTTTTTGAGGGGTTCACATAAAGCAGAGACGTTCAAGGCAATTCCCCCATGTTTCTACCGCCGCATTCCGCCGAACGAAAGTTTCACGTGACCCATCCTTTGATGCATCAAATTTTGGTGGCTCCGCAGCCAAGATCATTTTGTCCAATTATCAACCACCATTCAACAGCTGAACTGCAACGTGCTGACTTGCTCGAGCTTGCTTATATATCACGACATATTTTACATACATTCCCCGATTAAGAATTTGTCGGCCGGTTGGAAGAGCCGACTATTCCGAAAGTCTGTATCTAGATTTGAAGATTTGATGATCAAACAACCCTCAGGCTTTGTCTTTTGGGGTACAAACTATCCCGTACAATACGTGGACGCTTTGTCCCAACTCCTCGTTCACCGGTGTTTTTTGTCTCAGTTTTGTCTAAGAACCAATTGTTAGTGATGATCCCAGATTGATCAGCAATCAATCATGGTTAACACAAAACGTTCCGCACGAGGAGAGCGTGGAGAGTGAGTTAATGGTCAGATCAAACTCACGGGTACCAAACTTGCCAGACGTCGTATACCCCTGTCATGTCAAGCTTGTAGGGTCAGAAAGTTAAAATGCAACAGAGAAAAACCATGCCAAAACTGTGTAGTAAGGGGAAATATAGCCATCACTACTTGCTCATATGCCGAGAAGAATGATGCTCGTTTACCGGGGCTCTCTACTTTGCAACCGGAACAAGAAGATATGAGAGCGCGAATCAATCGATTGGAGAGCTCAATTCTATCTGTAATTTCTAGGGAGAAAAAGAACAACATCTCTCCTCTCCCTCTAAGTCTCGGAGAGAATAATGATGATCATGCCGGTCAAGCAGGTGGCCAAAAATCTTCTGTCGATACAAAGAGTACACATTGGGATTCGATTCTCCACGATGTGAGCAAGAAGATAATCTAACATAAATGCCTCCCTGCTGAAACTTCAAATAGCTCGGAGAAATGAAAGATGCATGGATTGATGAACACGATCGATTCGAGACATCATTGCCACCAGCAACAGCTTCATATCGACCAAGTCTATCAGGGAGTCTTACTGAACCACCTGATCGCGCATCGATACTTGCATCTTTACCTTCCAGGAAAGAGGCATATAAGCTTATTGAACGGTTCTTTGAAAGTTATAACCCTTCCATACCAGCATGTTGTAAGTGGCCACTGACCAGAACTATATCTATACCGGATGGGTGTATCAAGGAAGCTCACGAATAATAAAGATTTGTTACACAAAACAACTTATATGAAGCAGGTGAATTTTCCCCATAATATTTAAAGTCGCCAATAGTTTGGACAAACAGGTCTGATACAAAAGATTTCTTATCTTCAAATACGATTGCATGTTTCAAAGAGCATTTTGTCAGGGATATCTCGTTAGAGGACTGAATTTCAGCAATTGGAACCTCGATTTCGTGAATTTCATCAGCTGACCTATCCCATAGATTAAAAGTTTCTGGGAAGTGCCTCAAAAGGCTCGAATCGTCTGGATTGGTCTATATTTCTCAACCATGTGTTTGGCCCTGCAATCCTATGCCCGTAATAATGACATGCCTCCTGAATATCAAGATACATTAGCGACAGTCATAGACCTTTATCGTATCCGCACCGCCCAGTGTCTCATAACAGCTGATGTCACAAGACCTGTCTACTTGATAATAGAAACCATGCTATGTTACGCTTTCATTGAGTATGCATATGAACGAGATGGTGATATGGGTACTTGGCTTTTATCCGGGAATATTATGCGTCTAGCCCTACAACAAGGATGTCATCGTGATCCGGATCAGCATTCTGGTCTCAGTGTGTATGAGGGTGAAATGAGACGTCGCGTTTGGCTGATTATTACACAGCATGAGTAGGTAACTTTTGTTTGGGGACTTTCCAATCACATAATACTTTGCTGGCCTGGTGGGCGGGAAGTACGAAAGGAATTTACGATGTGTTCCCGATTTTGTCAATTCGAGCATTGGCAATCTTTCGTTACAACTTCTTTGAGTATAAACCTGAGGCTAGCTGAAGTTCTGAGGTGCATATGGTTCATACGATGATTGCCCACACTCAACACCGCATAATGCTAAAATTGAACCACAGGTTACTTTTCTCCGTTCAAATCGGACTTCCAAAATCCATCAAGCTCGCTGAGTGCGATTACAAAGAACCCCGCAACCTGCGCCTAGAAGAGCTTTCCGAAGACATGACCATTCTCCCCCCATCCCGGCCTGATGATGAAAGCACACACAATTGTTACCAACGCGTCCAATCTCGAATTATGCGTGCCTACGGCTATGTCATTGAATTTCTTCACACCGTCGAACCCCAACCATATACCGAAGTAATCAGACTGGACGAAATGCTCAAAAAATACCACGATCAGATTCCCTCGCATCTCCAACTTGGCACTCTTTCTCAAATGGCTCACGAGACCCCATCCAATTTTGCCGAAAAATTCTTCCTTCAAAAGTTTTACTATAAAGCTACACTTCTTCTTCATCGCAAATATTGGAACGCCACACTACCTGGAAACCCAGACGTATTTTGATGGTTTTCAAGACGTATGTGTGTACTATCCTCCATGACTCTCCTAAAAATCCAAGTCAGCATGCACGAAGCGAGTCAACCGGGTGGAATACTAAAAGACTTAAAATGGTGGCATTTTTCCATGACGAATCATGATTTTTTGCTCGCGGCTATGATTATGTGTTTAGATTTGAATACGAATCAAAGAACAGATCCACGGAGTGGGGGCATGAGTTATTGTGCTGTTGCTGAAAGTAAAAAATTAGAGGCGTTGATCAGGGCGAGAGACATTTGGAGGGAGGTTGAAGGGAATTGTAAGGATGCTAAAAGGGCAGTGGATCTTTTGGGAAGTTTGATCAAGAGGTTGACGGTAAAAGTACAAAATAATGTTGTGTTGAATGTAAACCCGGATTGTGTCAAACAGCCTCCTATTGTTACGACTATCAACGAGGCGAATGCGGAAGTGATTGGTAATTCGGTACCAATGTATACAGATATCTCTGTGCCGATGATTTTCGCGAACCAGGACGATAGCTTCAATGATATAAGTATGATTCCAGAAAATATGTTCGATACAGGAGGAATTTTTGGAACCTTTGAGAACAAGTCGATGTACCGGGAGATTTTGATTGGGTGAGCTATACCCGCTCCTAGCTCCTATCAGTGTTTGTACTAGTATACAGTAGTATAACGGTGGTGTGTATTAAGCTGTTAATATGGTAGCTCATATATATAAAGAGGAATTATATTACTTCAATAGATATTCAATATATGGAATATTACTGAAAATATATTGAAATACAGGAATTTGATTTGGAATATATATTCTTATTCTAAAATAGAATGGGAATGGATATTTTTAGTCCAAAAATGGATTAGAAATGGATATTCCTGTATTTCTATATATTTTCAATGATATTCAATATTAAGACAATATTGAATATCTTCAGTGATATATATATTGATATCACATACATGAATATATTATTGAAAATCAATATGTACCACTATACGGATCAGTATACGAAATACGAGCAATACTAGTACGAACACTGGCTCCTATATTCCTATTTCAGACATTGCTGACCAGAAACTTAGGATGCATGGGATCAAATTACTATAGGTCCGCATGCTCTAGGACAAGAAAGGGATTTGGAAATGCGCGAAAATTATTGGCTGTAATGATGAGATGCATATAATTGCTAGCTCCGCAGAATCAAAATAATCACAAATTTGGATGGATTTACTGGAAGTTTCTTTTTATTCATATTATCAATGTAGAATTTTCTTGGAACTTGCAACAGTTCTCCGTCTCCGTGCCTTTCCTAGAAGAACCACAGACTGAAATCGAATCCGCTCTTTTCTTTCTCTAATAACACACAAGATTCTGGATTGTGGCTTACAGGTGAGCGGAGTGATGGTGTAGGTTTCGATTAATTCTCTGGAGAGAGCAGGAGTATTGCTGCTTGATATGGATAAACGAGAGGGGTAAATGGGCAAATATGGATGTCGGGTGATCTAAGAAATTGGTAATGAAAGAGGTCTATGACAATGAATATTATGAAAATGACAATGCGCAATCAATTTGGAAGACGACAACAATTGAAGTCTTGGACGGTGAAATTAAGCATGATGCCAGTTTTTGACCGAGCGTCAGGTTATTCAAATTTGTTCTCTCTCTATCCAGTAGCCCTACTGATTTCAAAGCAAACGTGGTTTTCTCTCCTGCCGATTTTCCTTGTCAAGTTTCAATCGATAACGAAACAGTAAAAGTAAGAGGAGTCTTATATACTCATACTTTTTTCTCATTCTATTCGCTTTTTGGATTTGGCTATGCGTACACAATACTTGCTCGGTAACCTGTAAAATGCGTTAGCTAAGCTCCAATCAGATTCAACAAATCAAATATAACGATTTCAGTTGTACTTCATAATTCTTGAAATCTCAATCAGACGAGATTCTGCGGAACATAAGAGACCAAGTGTCTGAGAGATTCCATCACGGATTACCATAGGAAACAAATCCGAGTGAGAAATTATGGCCGGTGGAAAACGTATCTAGTTCTGGGAATTTATGGAAAAGCAACTCTGCTTGTGTGAGACCCAGAGCATAGGGCATAGATGTAATTGCAAGTGTACTTTTACAGTATGACTGACACCGGTGAAAAGTGTCATTGACGACGAGGCAAACGAAGCGATAAAAATGAATATGAGCGACCCGGAACTTTCGTCCTAACTATCGCATGTAATTTTCAAGGATTTTCGCATCTTTTGACTTTCGGAAATTGGGTTCAGGAACCTTGGGGTGGCAGCAGCAATAATCATCCGCGTGCTTTGATTAGGTTCTGGCAGATGAGGGGTTTATGTAGTATGTACACATCGCTTGACTTGTACAGCTTGCAGATGCAGTGCTGATGATATAGGATCCACTCATATGTTCTGGGGGACTCAAGCACGAAGCTTTCCATCTCATTTTTCAGCTCCCCAGCTCTCAGTCCTAACTTCGCTTGAAGTTTAAACATAGAGTTCCAAAACCCCGCGTCCTTTTCCACACACAACAGGACTATCTGGAGACCATGTCAAAGCATAGGAAATTAAGAGCAACCATTGATCAGATTTTCATGAGAAACTTTTCCCTCTTTCACGATCAACACTAGTCGAAACAACAGCTAATTACCTGCTGGATAGAAAAATTCTCAAGCAGCCACACTTTGTTTCAAAAAGCTTAAAATCCTACCATCGTGAAATTGAAACTTCTCTTAATGGCCGGCCAACGCCGTTGTAGACACTTTGCCACCAAAAGCCAGGCAAACAAATGGTTAATCGGATAAACGGCACGGGATTTACCCCATGACTACCGAAGAACGCCCTTTAGCTCGCCAAGCGCCGGAAGGATGATTACGCGCTTGTAAAGCGCATGGCAGTTATGACGATTGTGGACCCTTTCGATCCATTTTAACGGACTTCCTGCCTGCTTGGCGATACCTAGAGCGTGTGTCACATCGCTTTTCAAATGCGCATCGGGATTAACCTTAACAGATGGGGAATGAAAACAATCCGACTTACTTTCGAACTGGCTTGACTTTGATAGATGGAACTGTTATGACTCTACCTTTGATGCAGATTGGAAGTCGAAGACGTCAACATTGAAGACAAGAATCACAACTAACTAACTAGTTTTGTGGAAAGCTGTGACATTATGCCCTAAGGTGCCAGTTTCGGGCCTCTACGTAACCGAAAAAAGCGGCGGAAATTCACCACCATCCAAAAGAACTTCAACGACTAAAACTCTTCTTGATATAATATTAAATGATAAAAACATCTGCTATCAATACAAAGAAGACTCAAATTTTCGTATGCTTTTTTCAAATTTCAATATTTAATTTGAAATGAATTTGTAATCTATTAAAAAAGACCTTTAAAAGGGTACTCAATTTCCGCCACTTTTTTCGGTTACGTAGAGCGGGCGCCCGATGTGGCCCGTGCACTCAGCAAGAACATTAATAACTTCAAGAATAATATTATAAATAAAGGTCTTATATTATATTTAAAGATGAAAATTTATAAGAAAAGTAATAATAAATAAACCAAGTATATTTCCAAGACTTTTTTATTGAAAAAGAATTAGTAGAAGATTTTATAGATATATTATATTTCATACTCTAAAATCAGAAAATAATTATAAACAATTTTAATATAATTGTTACAGAACAGACAGGCAGAATCAGGAATCTATATTCAATAATACTAAGAATAATAGATACAAAATGTAAACTAAGATGTAGTTTAAAAAGTTATAATATAGAATCTTTCAATATAAAGATATATAGAGTTTTTACTTATAAATTAATCTAATTGGATTTAGCTTTATTACTTATCAATTATATATATTTATATTGTAATATTACCCCCCTCCTTTAAGTCAAATTTCAACAAAATGACAAGTTACAATTTACAATCTTATAGATAGATAGTTTGAATCAGATAAATCCAGACTTATCGGAACATCTATAATAAAAGTTACAAATCAATTCCTATATACCTTCTAAATAGCTAGCAGATTCTTTAATTGGCTTATTATAACTAATCTAGTGGATAGTATACTTCAGGCAAGGTTCTCTATAATCTCTTCTTTCCTAATAGAAATTTAGAATCTCAATAACTTTGAAATACTCTAAACTATTGATTTTTATAGAAAATAATAGTAGATTACACTACCCAGAAACAAAATCATTATATACAAAATATAGCAAATTGATATAAAAAATAAAATAAATTCTTATAAAGACAAGCAGTTTTAGTTTATAGATATAGAGACTTATTAAACTCAAAATCTCAAATAACCCAAAATTCTTTTAATCAAGTTTTTTCTATAAATATAAAGTTTTAACATTTCTAATATTCAATTAAACCAGATTATTAGGGGTATATCAATAAGCAAGAGAATAACAGGAATTAATATTCTTCAAATATCAAGCTTAACTAGTAATTAATTTTATCTTCAAATATAAAGAAATAGTTTCTATTTTGAAGACAAATTCCTTAATATTTTTTATAATAGGGCAATTACTTTTGAATAGAAATGATTCAAAGTTTAGGCAAAGGTGAAATCCGTAATTGGAAAAGAACAGAATTATTCGGATATTCTTAGACTAGATATTATTAATAGAAAACTCAGTAAATAAAAATTACTCTATCTAATTATTTTATAAATAAATTATATATAATCTGAAATATTGTTTTAGTATTATATTAACTCTTTTAATTTATTTATTAGTTTTGAAATAATAAGTAATAAAAAGTTTAATAGATATTTCTAAATATTTATAAATATATTTCCAGAATTCGGATATAAATTAAATTTTATAATCGAAAATAATTATTAAAAACAAATTATAAAGCTTCTAAATATTCTTTTAAAACAAATAAGCAACTTTTTAAAATTATAAATACTACAATAAAACAGAAAATGCTTTATTTTAATTAAATAATTAATTATTATTATAATAATATTAAAATCAATATTTTCAGACAAATATATAATAAAATCTATCAAAATATTTTACCAAACTTTTTATAGAATCAGAAATGAATAAAGAACTTCTTTCTGATTTTTATAATTTGAAATAATATAATAACAATTATAATAATTACAAATCCATTATATAATATAATTATAATAATTAGGCTAGTAATAATCTTAAAATAATAATTCGAAGATTTGGGTATGGTATGAGTAATCAATAATAGGAAACTTATAATATAAATAAAATAAGTAAGTTTTTAGGGAATTATAATTAGAAATATATAACTTTTCTTAATAATACAATAAACTATTGTTTTCAGAATATTCAACAAAAATAATTTTCGAATATTTTAGAAATTCTTTTTATAAGGATTTTAAAATAGATTTGGAAATAGGGTTAGTTTAATAGTTTTTTTAGAATAGGGATAATAGATTGGCAAATAGGTTTAAAAGAGTTTCTTGGTTCTTTAGGAGTATTACAAAATCAAATTTTGATATAATAAGCAGAAATTCAGATTTAGGTATAATAAAATCAAAAGAGTTAACAGAATTAGAGTTTTTCTAGTTTTGTATAATAATAGCAAATTATACTTTCTTTATAATCTTAACTTCTTTTAAAATATCAATAATTAGAAATAGATTAGAGTTCAAGTTTTCTTTTTTTAGAATAATTTGATTTTAATATAGGAAATATTCATTTCCTTTTTTAAGGAAATTCTCTAATCTTCTGGTTAGAGTATCAGACTTGATATCTAGCTTTTTGGGGCAATAGATAATTCGGAAGTTAAACTGGGACAGGAATTCAGATCAGCAGGCTTAACGGCGTTTTGCGGGGAAAATACATCTTTCCAGTTTCGGAATTCAGGTAGGAGGTTATTCGGATCGAACTCTTTCTTTTTATTCAGAATATCATTAATCTGTTCAATAGAGATCTGGAACATTTCATATTTTCGATAAGTATATACAGAATAGGCTTTTAGGGAAATTACAATTACATCTCGATTCTTAAAATCTTTAAAATAATTAAATAAATATACAAATCGGGTTTTTAGGGGAATATCAGATAGAGCTTTTATTCAAAACAAATAAAATAAAATATTACAGAATTTATAATAATATATACTATCGAATTGAAAAAAGTTTATTACAAAGTCAATACAAAATTTTTTTTTTTTAAACTAAACTATACCTAATATTATAGGATAATAGATTAATTCAATTATATACAGAATGATTTTTTTCTTAATATGATTATTGATTCTAAATTTAATATAAATATAAAATGTAATCTGGTTTTTAAATAGAATTTTGTTATCGAATTTAATAATTTCAAAAGTAGTAAATAATTTATATTCAAAAATCTTTTGGAATAATATTCAGTTTTGATTAGTAAAAACAATCTCTTCACAATTACTATTTACTATAATATAAATTAAAAGAATATTTTTTTCTAGAAATAAAGTAATAAATAGGATTATTAAATCTATATAATTATTTAGTTTATCTTTTAAAAAAAATTTTTAAATAATAATAATAAATAAATGGAGTTTATATAAAGGATTATATTAATAATAATTTAAACTAAATAGATCCTATTTCCCAATCCCAATGAATTAATTAATAAATGAAATAGGAATTAAGAAAAAAAGCGAAACAATAATCAAATAGATATTCTACCCCTTAATAGACTTTTCAGAATAATATTGTATCAAGGCTAATTAAAAGTCCCAATTCTGAACTAGATAGGGTAAGTATCAGGATATAGACAATAATGAATAAGATATCTAATAAAACTACAGTAATAACATTCACCATACTCTTTTCTAAATAAATCCCTATTATTAATTCAATATTAAAAACTAAGATTTATTAGATCTTTAATAAAAATAAATACTAAAATTAGTTTATTAACACAAATCAAAACAAATATAAATATTCTAATAAACAAGGAATAAAAAGCAATTATTCAACCTTATTTCAAATATCTATAACAGTTTTCCAATTTTTGATAGAAAGCTATATAAATATTAGCACTATAGATTAGTAATTTAGTAATGATAATCTAATTTACCAAATTATTAAACAAACCTTATTCCAATAGAACAATCAAAATCATATTATTATTAGCTATTCCTACTTCCAGGACCAATCATTAGAACTCAATATAGAAAATATGAAATGATTGGTTCTATTAATAAAAGAATATTAATTGCTTTTGAACTTCAGCAATCTTATTTACATTTCCATAAACATATTTCAATATTTCTAATAAATCAGGGTAATCCTTTAGACAAATAAAGTCTTCTTTTATATTATAAAAACAAATCTAAATAATAACAATTCCAAAAAGTCTTCCGATAACATATAATAAATAGAAATAGGCAATAATAAAGTAATTAGAATTTATATATATCTTATTCTGGATTTATATAATAAATTAATCCAGGTTAAGTTTATTACTATCGAATAATATAGAATCAGATAACTTTTTATTTAATTAAAAAATAATAATAGGCAGGGCGGGTAATATAGGAATAATAATTATTTCTCCAAATATTTTATTAAACAAAAAACTAATAACAAAAAGTTTAGTAAAAACAAATTCGGCAAAACAATTAAGCAAACTAGTATTTTGTATAACGATTTATTTGTATAGAAAAACTTTGATATACCTTTCAATAAACATTTCCAAAATCTTATATTTGAGGAATAAATTAATCTTTTTTAGTTTAGTAATATATATAGTTACTAACTAAAGATATTAATATTAAGCTTAAAAATCCTTTATTATAATTATACTGAATTTAGAAATATCCTTTGGGTGATTGGGTGGATATAGAGTAGACATTGTTATTTGCAATAATATTAATAGAAACTACATAATATCATGGGGTAGATAGGTAGAATTAGGAATTTATATTTGATGGTATTAAGAATAATAGATATAGGGTATAAATTAAAATATAATTCAAAGAGCTATAATACAGGATCTTCCAATATAAAGATATACAGAGTTTTTACTTATAAACTAGTCTAACTAGACCTAGTTTTATCGCTTATCGGTCACGTGTATCCACACCGTGACAATAATTTATAATTAAAAATATTATTAAATCAAAAATTCAATATTTATTAATAAAATAAAGATATATATAAGATTTCATATCAATATAAAGAATATATTATTTATATTTATGAAATTCCTAAGTATTCGATAGTTAATTCAAAAAACATGTGAAAACTGTGAGAATTCTCAAAATCCTGATGTTTTGATTGGTCAATAAGACCCTGTTAAGCGAGGGCGCCCGAAGTTAGCACCTTAGGGGGAGGGGGGATAGAGTTTAAGTATTGAGTACAAATCAAAGAATCGAAATGTTAAAAAGCGGGTTCGTGGAGACAGCACATTGAAAGTCCCCAAAAAAGGTCTGGATCGCTAGTGTTCATCCCCGACACATATTTTCGATTTCAATACAAATTGATCGAGTTTCGAGTTCTGGATAGTCCTAAATCCGAGCAAGCCTTCTCTGGTATGTATCTTCGGAGTCCGCAAAAGTTTCCGGACGGTGACACGATCATAAGTGAGTCGTGAGTGACGGTGGGTTTGATGTGTATATAAGAACAACTTGTAATCCATCAACTACCTTAATCGCATCATCAGATTCTCTACAGACAAAGGGATTTCCACCACCTCAAAACTCCTTTCAAAATTCATCGCAATCATGACCGGTATGAGAGTTGCTCAATTGTTGGAGCAAGGAAAGCCTTTGAAAGTCACGACAATTGAGAAGCCAACTCCAGGACCAAAAGATGTTCTCGTCAAAGTCGAGGCCGCTTGTCTTGTTCCAAACAGTGCCAATGTCATAACAAAAGGTCCAGGCCTTCATTTTGCCTTGCCGGAGTTACCAAGTGTTTTCGGTTTGGATGCTGCCGGTGTTATTGAAGCTGTAGGAGAAAATGTTGTTGGGCTAAAGGCCGGGGATCGAGTTTATGTCGACCCGTACACAACTTGTAGCTCCTGCAAACCATGTCGAAAGGGTAAGTCGGGCGGAATACCGAGCATCTTTGTGTTTTCTGCTAACGAATAGCAGGGAGGAAGGATTTATGTGTTTCGGCATGCCTACGTGCGTACTTCGGAATTTCAACCCCAGAAGGAAAGGTACTTCTTAACCAGTATCCCATCGGTTCACTTTCACAATACTTGTTGTCACCTGATGCAAATATTTGCGTGATCCCTTCCTCGATCGACATCAACACCGCAGCTCGATTTGGCTACATCGGTACTTCGTACGCAGGTCTTAAAAAATGTGGAATGGGACCTGGAAAGACACTTGTAATCAACGGTGTGACAGGTACTTTAGGATATGCCGCCGTAGCGATTGCTCTTGGTTTCGGTTGTACAAAGATTCTGGGCATCGGACGCAATAAAGAACGTCTCGCTGAGATTGAAGGAATAGCTACGAAGGGACGTATCGCTGTCCGTTCCACTGAAGATGAGGGAGATCTCATCCAATGGATTAAGGAACAAACGAATGGATCAGGTCCCGATGGTCTTTATGATTGTCTTGGTAATGGAGGTGATGTAGACGGTACCGCTAAACTGATCAGCGCTGTGAAGCGTGGTGGAAGAGTAGCATTGGCTGCTGGTGGAGTAAGCGGTGACATCACTCACACTTATGCCGAACTCTTCATGCGGGACGTTAGTGTTAACGGGACACTGTGGTTTACCAGCGAGGAGATAGATGAGTGCATCGAGTTGATTGGAGCGGGAGTCATTGACTTCTCATTCCTCAAACACAAATTCTTCTCATTGGATGAGGTCAATGATGCGTTTAAGACTGTAGGAGACCGTCCTGGTGGAGCATTGAATGTTATTGTACAGCCACAGGCATAGAACCGACTTCACAGAAGAACGGTTTAGATAGAAGATAATACAACGCATTTATATCTCCCTTAACATTCATCCTGATTTCACAAAACTGTGTCTGTCAGAACTAAACCTCTTAGGGGTGCTTAGTCAGAACATAAAATCAACCCCATCCCTACGCACATTAGCCTCCCACTTTAGCTCACGAAAAATACCTCATGGAAAAGCGTCTTCGTGCCGTTCAATTTTGAGATAAATTTTCAGCACAAAGGTGTGGGAAAACCCCATTTCCGATTCGCTAACCTAAAGAGAAGATATCGTTCACAATAAACACCTTGCCCATTCATCTATTACCATCATGAATTGTCAGTTTCATCTGCACTAATCTGAACCTGTCCCAAGTACAAACCACAATGAAACCATTACCATTGCTTACAAACTTCTCTCTATCTAGGATATTATCTTCAATTGCGATTTGTTCATCAATCCAGGTCGATCACTTGGAATATAAGAACGTTACATTCGGCTTTATAGTTAAGCATTAGTAATATCTTAGATGTTTCAATTCGTGGCTTGAAGTTGTTTTTATCTTGGCTATGTCTATAGAGAGAAAGCGGCGAAGGACCAACTCCTCGAATTTCTTTTATACATATCTGTAGAGAAGAGAGTGTGTGTATTGATTTGAGAAGGATACGGATGACACAGTACCTACTATAGTAGATCCTAAATAACAATATTGTGTTATATTTACTAATTTAAAGAGCTAGCTATTATATAACAAAAATAGGCCTTAAATAAGGGTTACCGAAAGAGCTAGTCTCTTTCACATTCGCTTAGGTTTAGTATAATGGTTATTGAATTGAAGTCATTCACCTACGTTCATACAGTTTGTGCCAGGCTCTGTGCGCTTCTTAAAAATGTGTTGTGAAACTTTTATATATGTTCGTAAGAGAAGTTTACTGATAAATGGTGACCATAAACATATCAATGAACTTTTAATAATACCTTTGCTAGGATACATAAGACCGAAGACCGCAGAGATGAACAAAATGTATGTGAGCCGGCCAGACGTAGTCATTGAGATATTCTCTTGACTGAATGTCTGGCCCAAATGTAGCTCATTGTCAGTCGACGCTACAAGAGTCTGATTGGCGAACCAAGCTTGCAACATCATACAATGATACGGCAATTCTCTATAGCTCGTGAACATTTTTAATAGGTTAGAGTATCCTCACAGAACCGAAAATGATTCACTGTCTCACTAGCGTCAATCTTCACGACCGCCGCATCAATACAACTTGTTATATAAACTTGTGTAAAGTTCCCCTTGCAAACAAAACAATCACATCAACGTCATGGATTCCCCCGACATCAACGCTGCGATGAATGCTCCAAGCGTTCCAGTCCTTTCGACCTTCCCCAAATTTCCCCTCTTCCCTAAGGAAATTCAAGTTAAGATATGGTTCCATGCCCTTCCAGACGGACGAATGTTTTTTGCAGGTATATACGGAGTATTTCCCCATCCACAGCCTCATCCACTGTATGATGTGAGTCCAGAGTCTCGCGAAGTGTTTCTCAAACATTCCAAAAGACTCCCTACTCATACCGCGGGTTGTGTTTACGCCGAATGGAGTCAAGATCCCATCTTTTACAGTCCATTAAGAGATACAATCGTTTGTGAATCCGACTTGCTACGCACGTGCTACTTGCATACCTCCAAAAAAACACTCCTCTCCCAAGATCTGGCTTGTTGCGACGAGAGGAAAAGGTTTTTCGCTGCACTTCGTCACATAGGCGTTCTAGCGGATTGCCAACAGTACGCTATCCCCGATGGAGATTGCAGTTTCAATACTATTGATCGTTTTTTGATGTTGAGCGATGGCAACATGTCTTTCTACGCACAACTCTTCACAGATTATCCAAGGCTTAAGTCTTTCAGTTTTGTGATTGGATCCGAAGCCGTCCAAAAAAAGGCCAGAAAAACTTCGAAAATGCGATCTGCCAAGGCGAATTACTCGGAAGAGGCAATATTGGAGGAATTCTATCAAGAAAAGATGGAAGAGACACGAAATGTTGTTGAAAAGTGGAAACAATTGCATCCTGAAGCAATCGTTCCACAAATTGAGATAGTTTACGCTGCCGCGGACACATTTTCAGAATCAATATCAAAATGAGATAACGGGAATATGATTGTTCTTCAAGGAGACTTTTACCAGAGATTATGAGATTATATCAATGAGGTGTTGGGACGAATTTGGGACTGGTTGGGAAAACAATCATGGTGATGGTGTTGTCACATGCGAGTGATGGGTCTCTTGGGAAATTGTGGAAGCTATATCAAGAAAAGCAAAATACAAGCATTCTCTTTCTAGAATTCCGTAGTGAAACTTACGGAAGTTCTGTGACTGTCCAAATATTTGGATGACCTTTTGACAAGTGAGTGATTCAACAATCGATATCGAATCTGACTACCTACACAAGCCTTTACGAATTACCAGCCGGACAAAAGACTTTCTTATACTTAGCATTGATCTACAACTCAGAACTCCAAGAGAATCAACATGCTAATCTCACATTAAATCTACCGCAGAGTTTACGCATAGGGAAATACGAATCCAGCCCATGGCTGTCAAATATTACACTCATGAACTGGAAAGGAAGCCAGGCAGTTGATCCTCGATTCTGCTCTCCTGGTACTTTCGAGACCGGGACGGGTGGTAACTCTTAACCTTAGGGCATGTGAGGTATGGGAGGGATATGATAATAATGAGGAGAGTTCAGCCAGTGATTTATTCCGGAACATGAATTTTTTATTTGCAGAGATGTCACTTATACACTCTCTACGTAAGCAAAAAAACAGGCGGGAATTGATCATCATTTGAAAAACCTTCAACAACTAAGATTTCTTTTTAATCCTAATATTAGATAATAAAAACACTTGATTTCAATATAAAGAAGACTCAAATTTTCGTTTGCTTTTTTCAAATTTCAATATTTAATTTGAAATGAATTTATAATCTATTAAAAAATACCTTTGAAAGAGTACTCAATTTCCGCCTGTTTTTTCGCTTACGTAGAGACACTGTAGCTACCTATCGGCTATTCACAATATGGCTAACCACCCTAATAAGGTTACATGTAATTCGCAGAATTTATCGATATAGCCGACAAGTACCTCTACTTTATATTTCCACACGTGTAATTTATCCCAATATCTTTCTCCAAATGAAACTTCATCTCCTCATCCTCGAAAGCAGTGTGATTTAGATGCAAGAAGGTCATACATGGTATAAAAGAATGAGAGATAGTATCCCTCAATTAGACGACGACATTTCAGCCTACCGCATGCATTCACCACTATCAAATATCAATATTCTTCATCTTAACTTAAAAATATCAGATAACAATTTCGGTATAATAACTACACTCAGATTCTAACAAAAGTTTATAGAAATGACAGTACTCACAATTTCCTCAACCATACAAAAGGTCTTCCCTCCAATCGAAGTTCGGAATATAGCAAATCTTCATTTTCTATCTCCTTTTTCGACTTCTACTGTATCCAAAAATCACGGATTTGATTGGATTACCCATATCTTCATCTCCGAGATATGCTGTGCAGTATATGGCGAAATTCAAATAATGAAAGTTGCGGTGTTTATATACTTATCCTTTTTTTCTCCCAATTCACAAAACTGGTATATGTATGGGTATCTGACAAATTTCTAGCGCTGAAATGTAGTTTACATTCCCGATAACTGAGTGAATCAAACTCTCATAATCCTGCTTTATCTATGCGTTTCCCTCGAACTTTGGAAATCCTACTGTCTACATAAAACCTACCAATCTTCCCAGAACTCATCCTCAAACTCAAGTTCTAAACAAGACCGAAGGACTGAGGAAGCCCCAGAGCTCTCAGCCCAGATCGCGATGATACATCTTATAATACACATTTCCCCAAAAAACCCCCCCCGAGTTAATAAATCTAGAAATCAAAGATGAGAAAGAATGAGCAATGGTGAGATGAAATGACAATAACAACAATATTCGACAACAGGACTGCTATCCCAAGCAGCGAGCAAGTGAATGTCTATAACGTGACAACAAATTCCTCTCGCCTATTTCAACATTTCCATCACCATTTATTTATTCATCACTCTATACCTAGCTTAACACTCCCCAAACCCCTCCTATCTAGATAGATATACAGTATTAAATTCCCAATCCCATTCCCCTCAATCTACAATTTCCACCCACAATTTTCAATACTGAACTAGATACCTACCAGATACCTATCCACCACTACTTATAGCCACCATAGAATACTATTAAAGCAAATCTATATAGATATAGAGAATACAAGCTCACAAGGGGAAGAGAATATGAGTTTTATAAATATTTAATATCCTCGATTCTCATTTCTTCTTATATCTCATTTCTCCTTATATCTTATTCAAGATCTCATCCCAGATCTTTAAAAATTCTTTTCTTTTTTTTTTATATTTATCTTCTCATCTTCTCATTTTCCCATCTTTCTATCTTCTCATCTTCTTATCTTCCCATTTTCCTATCTTTCTATCTTTCTATCTTCCTATCTTCTATCTTCTATCTTTCTATCTTTCTATCTTTCTATCTTTCTTCTTTCTATCTTTCTATCTTCTATCTTTCTATCTTTCTATCTTTCTATCTTTCTATCTTTCTATTTTCCTATCTCTTCATCTTCCCATCTCTCCATCTCCCCATCTCCCCACTCCTCATACTCCAACCCCCAAACCTCCAAACCCTACAGATTTCCATTCATTTCCTCATCTCATCTCATCTCATTTCGAATCCAAATCCACCAGACTACTTACTACTTACTATATATAATCTAAACAAACTACATCAAAAAATAAATAAACACACATACAAACATATACACTATAAATATTCTACCCTCCCTCTCCTCTCCTCTCCCCTCCTCTCCTCTCCCCATTTCCATAATCTCCACATCTCAGAATGTCTTCTTCTCCTTCCAAGAACACATACACAGACTCCCAAAGAATCGTAAATTTCTCTTTTTTTAATAAGAAGCAGATATACATATATCCACATACACCAATTAATAAATCAACAAATAAACCCATCCATCATCCATCCATCCTCCCAACACCTTCAATACCCCACAACCCCCCTTCCTCCCTTCCCCCTCTTACTACCTAGTATCCACCACCATCTCAGAAAAACTCATATCATAACATACATGCATACACACATACATACCTAATACATCGAAAACCCTCCATCTCATACCCCTCATACCCCTCATACACACAAAACTAACATCACCATACCAGTACACCACCACACCACCACACTATAACCACACTACAGCCTTACCCCTTTTATTTCAAGTAGCGATAATTATATTAATTAATAAAATATATATAACCTAATAAAATAATAATATAACAAAACATAAAATACAAACTAACAAAATAATAATATAATAAAAAACATCTATACCTACCTACCTACCTACCTACCTACCTACATATACCTATCTACCTATAAATACAAAAAAACACTAAAATCCAACTATAAACTCAATATCCCCCTCTTACACCCTTCTAACATTCCCTCTCACACCCCTCCCCCGCACACCCCTCTCATCCCCTCACCTACTCTATTCCCATCAATATCCACCACCTAATCCGAGACAAACTCTACTAAATAATCTATCTTTTCACCCTCTACTTTCTACTCCCTATTCTTTATTCCCTACTTCTTACTCCCTACTTTTTACTCTCTCCCCTTTCTTCCAAAAGAAAAACAGATAATCAGATAGAAGAAGAGAGAAAAAAGCAAGAACTCTATTCATGCTATTGGACGGAGTAAAATGAACCAGTACGCGAGGAAAGGAGGAAGAAGCGGATGAAAATCTACTTGAGATAGAGGCTGTAGCGACTACCCCTCGTTTATCTAGGTATTATTCGTCATACCATTCATTCATTCATTGACCCCGCACTCACTCATATTATACTCTCCTCACTTGCATCACATCTTCAACCAACAACCAAATCATCACAAAACATACAAAGCGATGACTGGAAAGATAATCTTAAAAAGAACGGTATTTCATATTGCTACAAATATATCCTCACTTAATCCCATCTCCCCTATCCTGTCTCATTCACTCCACTTATTCGCACATTTCAAGAATTTCCCTATTCTTTCCATCACAACCCACAATCCGTGTCCCCCATATTCCAGCCTGGTATTTCCTCCAAATCTGATCAACAGGTTCATATTCTTATATCCCCCAAACTCGAAAGAAAAAAAAAAGAAAAGTAACCCAGGCATATAATCATATCACAATTTCCATTTAACCATTCCATCCCCAGTATCAGAATAAAGAGCAAAAAAAGTCGAAACATATATCCCCAATCCATTGCATTCCCCTCAGACCCATCGAAAATCCCTCCCTTTCATTCGGAAAAGCATCCAGGTTTCACTCTTATTCGACAACTTGGGACTTGTGACAAACTTGTGACAATAAACTGATGAATGTCAAAGTCAAACAATTCCAAAGTATTAAAAATACTAGAAAAATTCCCTGGATGCAATTCACGAAAGAAGTCAGAACCCCCCAAAACGAACGAAAAAAAAAATGAAATTGTTATATCGAATGAAGGATAACCTTGAGACTGAAAGCTCAAAAAGTTCCTCCAAAATTAATTAAGAAGTTTGTTTCTCGAAAAGTATTCATCATCTTCGTCAAAAAAACTAGCAATTGCAAGCAAGAAAACCCCGATTCCTGCATCGAAATATGCACAATGTCGAATGCAATATCAAATTGTTCTTTTTGTTCGACAAGTTAAAGTAGAGATCGGATAATCAATAAATGGGATCTACCCATCAAGTGATTTACTCAAACATCTTAAAAGATGGAGCTTTTGCGTTTCTCAGCGCTAGTGAGAACAAGCATTGGTGCTTTCTTTTGAATAGCAGCTACTTCAGGCTTCTTTCCAGCATTCTTAAAGACAGCAGCAAAGCTACCACCAATTTGTTCATCACCAGAAACACTCTCAGCAGTGAATGATTCAACTGACATGACTGACTTGATTTCAAGAGAGTTTTGTCTTGAAGTAGGGCGGTTAGAACCAATGGCACCATGTTGAGATGTACGAGAGCTTGGTGGGCTTGGACGACCTGAAAGACTTCCACTTCCACTACGGCCAGAATCCGAATCGTTATCATCAGCGGAGAATGACATCTCACCATCTTCAGATACAGGTGACATGCTACCTGATGCACTACCTGGTGCCCTTCGACGTTCCAATCCAGCACGGACAAGATTGTGAACAGCACTTCGACGAGTTCGAGTAGCAAAGTTCTTGGAACCCTCAAGCTTGGCAGTTGGCTTAGATTTCAATTCTTCAATGGGTGGTGGACCACGTGGTTGTCTGACTGGATGTTCACCAGCCCGTCCTGCACCTGGACCAAATCCGGTTTGAGTTGGAGTACCTGGGAAAGTAGATTTTGGTAATCCAGCCGTTTTTGGACCATCCAAAGAAACCTCACCAGACATAGACATAGCCATAGACTTTGAGCTACGATGTCCTCTACGGAAAGCACCAGCAGATGGTGGAGGCAAAGGAGCATGGTCTTGTGGTGGCGATGCAGATTTCTTTGGTGGACTGATTGACCTTGTGAAAGATGGTGCATCGGATTGTGGTGGTGGAGACACTTGGAATCTTGGTGTGCCAGGTTGTTGTGGTGGAGAATAGCTCACCCTTTGTTCAATTGGTGACTCGACATATTGTTGACTGTTATCCATGAAATAGGTTTGCTGTCCAGTCATGGGGTTGTAGTACGAGTAAACACCAGGTTGGGCTCCGGGAACAGGTGTGATGATTGGTTGCATGTTTTGCTTCATTTGGTGTTGTTGATACATTCCCATGTTTTGTGGGGTGATTGGGGGAGTTGCGTATTGTCCATTCAAACTCATTTGTTGAGCGGCAGCTTGAACATTCATCAATTGTTGCTGAAGACGTTGTTGTTGTTCTGCGAGATACAAATTGGTAGCAACAAGCTGAGCATACAAATTTGGATCCATTCCTTCATGTCCATCATCAAGTCGAATCTCGGGAGTGGAAAGAACTTGCTCGGGAACAGAGTACATCTGTTGATGATTCATTTGATGGTTTTGTTGATTGAATGGAGCATATCCTGAAGTCTTTGGTCCATTATCGGCATATCTGCTCGAGTTCATTCCATTGTTACCGGTGTTGTGTTGAACTTGGGTTGGTGGAGCAGTTGATGGAAAGTTGGCAGAAGTAGCAGACTTTGGTGCAGTTCTCAAACCTGCGAGTAAATGAGAACGAGATGTTCTTGGAGTTGGTGCACCGTTATCTTGAGAATCGAGAGTCTTGGCAGTGGGTTCAAATGAAAGACGTTTGATGTTGGAACCATTAGCAGCTCTTCTAGCAGCGAAACCAGTAACTGGCATACCCAAACCATTACTGGAAGGGAAGTTGTTGTAAGACATCTGAGCAAGACCGCCTGCGTCCATTTTTGATGTTTTTTTGTACAATTGAAGGTGATATTGTAAGTTTGGGTGTCAAGGTAGGAATCGTTCGATTCGTAGATTTGTCAAGGATCAATTATCGAAGAGAGTGTATTCGTGTCGATGAATTGATCGTGTAAGGATTGTCAGGTCGACCTGAGTGAGCAAGGGACGGGAATTGTATTAGATAAAATTAAGATGATTCGAAACAAGATATTATCGAATGCGTATTGTACGTAAAGTCGAAGGAGTTTCGATGTAATTATATTGTTTTGCTTTGTAAAATGTAATTCTGTAAGAAGAAGCTCGAAGGTTGTGTGGTGAGATGAGGTGGTGGTGTAAAAGATAGGCAAGCCTTTTCTTTTCACACAAGCAACAAACAAATCGTCGTAATGAGAGATGAAATGTGTGCGAGAGAATGAAGGTTAATGGAAACGATTCTTGTCGAAGATGTAAAGGAATTTTGATAATTGAAGAGATAACTTTTTGATGGGTGAATCCAAGAAAAGAGTTGATGAATCTTCAATGTGAACAAAAAAGACCCCCCGAAAAATCCGAACAAATGGATGTAAGTAAGTGTGTATTTTCTCGGTCGCGGACTGATAGAAATGGCCTGGCCTTGTCAAACTTGAGGTTTTTATTCTTTTCTTCTTCCTCTTCTTCTTCTTCTGGTATCGATGACGATGATGAGTTGATTTTCGCTTTTTGATGGGAATATTACAGAGTGTGGGGATTGAATGTGTTGTATGTAGTATCTCTATTTGATGGAAAGATGTGAAGAAGGAAGTGATATCTCAAAGTAAAGTCAAAAGACGAAGACGAAGACGACGACGACGAGCACGAGCACGACAACAAAAAGCTTTGATTGAGAAGGAAGTCTCGAATGAGAAGAAAATAAAAAGGAAGTAAGGTTTTTTTTTCTCAATGTGAAAGGATTGTCGAAGGACTTTAAATTCTTTTTGGGGGAGGAAAGAAAGAAAATAGGAAGAATAAAATTGAAATTGAAATTGATGCGTTTTTGTGTGTGTGTGTGTGTGTGTGTATGTGGGTGTGTATGTGGGTGTGGGTGTGGGTGTGGGTGAGTGAATAAGAAGAGTGAAGAGTGTGGAGAAATAAGAGAAGGTCTGGGTGGATGATGAGTGGAAATGGTGAAGATGAGTGGATGAGTGGATGAGTGGATGAGGAATCACTTGAGTTTAAGTGTGAATGGTCGAGTGAAGGTAGGTGCGTCCAGTAGCGGGATTATTGTGGTCGTGGTTGCTGCTTGATGTATGTATGTAATGTAAGTGAAGTATAATAATGCTACTAGGGAGGTACCTAGGTCAAGGGTAATATCGAGGGCGAGAAGAGAGAAGAAAGAAGAGAGAAGAGAGAAATAAGAAGAGGAAAGTTAGAAAAGTCTCAATGCCAAGTGTATGCGTGTATAATAAAGTGCAGTGCGTATTTTGAACTGAAAAGACCCAGAAAGTATACTTTTATGAAAATAATGCCTTGAATAAATTGAATTTCAATCAAGAAAAAAAGGGCTCGATCAATCAATAATAAAGAAGGGCCCGGAATGATCCTTTTTTAGTCTAGATATGGTATATGATGATATGGTATGGTATACATATATGGTGTATGGTGTGTAGTATCTTGATCAATGTAAACGCGTCAAGAAGGCAGGCAAACAAATACAAGTACCGTAGACAAAAGAGGTGAGTGGAATGGAACGAACGAGGGGGGAAAAAGAAAAGTGTATTCAGTATCTAGTCTACCGTAGTATTGAATATCAATAACGAGCTGAGTAACTAACTAATCAAGAAAGGAAGAAAGAGATCCTGGTTCACTTTGATATTTGATTGTTCTTCTTTATGTATCTACCTAGGTATGTATCTATGTATCCATCCATCTACCCATCGAGAGAGGCAATAACGCAATAACACAACGATGAAAAGTATCTCAAGATTCCCATCCCAGAGTCAAAGATCCCCCATCCCCAAATCCAGGAAAGGAATGAGATTGTCCTCTTTCGCCCGTAGCCACGAATGAGATCGTCTCCATTGAGCGAATGAGATTAACGAATTAGTCCTCTCACGTCGAAGGCAAAAAAGAGGCGTTCCAACTTCCAATGAGCGAGACGAGAGAGTGACTAGGGGGATTTCCCTATTTTCTTAAGCTTGCATCTCCATCGACCTAGCGAGCCTAGCTCTAGGTACACATCCCCATGAACGCTCGACAGGTCCCCCTTCACCAAAGTTAAAGAGGAGAGAGGGTAGGGTGTAACAGGAGACAGGGTCGACAGACTCTGCTTACTTACATCTGGATGCTTGATCGTTATTTTTTTTCTCTTCCATCTATCCACTCTTCCTCATTGGGCCACTCACGCTATCCAGAATATCCGAAAGTAGCGAAAAAGTCTTTGCTCGAGAGTGAGCATGGATGATCTCTTAGTAGGTTTGATCAACAAAGATCCCTTGTCATACCTAGGGATTATTCAAAGGGACCACGGTGATTTTTTAATTTAAAAAAAGAGCTGATGTGGGGGAATCTTCCGTGTACTCTTTGTCGCAGATTTTGTTAGTGTCACTGGTGAAAGTCTTATCAATCTCTTGTCCGTCTCTCTTTAATGGAGGTGGTGTGGGATAGATGGCATATGGAGGGTGGGAAGAAAGAAACGTGGAATTCGGAGATTCAATTTGGTGAAGAACGATGCAAAGGGCGGTGTGGTGGGAAGTAAGGGAAAAGTTACTCGACATTTGAACATGGAAATCGAAATCGAGATCAAAATCAAAATCAACATCGAGTCTCGAAGGTTTGATTGGCATGAATATCGATGTTCGATGAGCGAGGGAGGGCAAAGCCTCGTTAAGCTAACTTTAGCTAACAAAATTAGCTGTATGTACAAAGTAATGGTCGTTTTCTAGACATCTAATTTAAACAAGCTAGACACCAAAGGGGAATCATCAAGATCCTTTTTTGTTGACATGATCATCTAAGATACCTGGTGCCACGAAAACCATATTGACAGGTTCCACTTCGATTAATTGGCCACAATAGTTTCTCGCGAGCGAGTTGATTTTTCACAGTTCTGGAGCCAACTTTTCCAGACGAAGACCAGAGGAGAAACGCGAGCCCCAGCCAGCCGAAGATACCGTGAAGAAGTGGTTCAATAGTGCACAGAACCACGTACGAGAAGTGACTAAGGATGACTCGAAAGAGTGCCGCACGTACGGCTACAACGGGTACGAAGTCGATGATTTAAAAAAGGGTAGTAAAGTTTCACGGGGGGAAGGGAAAATCCTTCGAGCCCTTCGACCGTTTGACGGGACCGATCAAGTGGAATCAAGGGGACGAAGCCTATTGCATAAATTTCAAATGGCTGCTTGAACTTGTGATGAACCTAAATCTCAACGATTTCGAGCCACGGAACGCTCTCAAACACATGCTTCCCCTAACTAAATTATCACTTCCACCACGACTTGTCCTAGAACGCTCAATATCTCATCTCACCTAATCACTCATCTATATATATACTCTGTAGATTATATAAAATATCCATATAAAACATCCATATAAAATATATAAATCAACACCATAACTTCACGTCTCCACTCCAGCACACCCAAAACGCGTACATATCGCGTGGCTAAGTCTCCCACTCCATAAATCTCACCAATTTTCGCACCGGTACCTCCACCTCGATTCCCAACTAGGAGTTTTTCGCTACAGAAGATACTATTCGGAGTAGGTACTGTGCCACAATCTTGCTTGAAGGTGGATACCTACACACACATCTTCGGAGTCACACTTTTGCACCCTGTCCCTTTCCCGGTTGTGAGGGAACACGCAAAGGCCTGGATTGATTGATTGATTGATTGATACCGTGAACCGAAGAGGACCCTCCTTTGTCCACGGCATTACTGAGCCCAAGGTCTGAGGTCTCACTCACCACCAGTACACAATATTGACGATGCGAATGTACCCCGTATCAGCTCCATCATCTCACCACTCTCATTAATAACCCTCTCTCATTACGAAGCGCACGATGATGAGCATCCATAGATATCTTGCACGCCTCTCCGGATTATCCATCACGGAGCCGAGAAGTGAGCAGTGCAGTGCTTGAGAATGTATATTGCAACGTCTTGCACATTGTAAATCCAATCTATCTGAGAAAAATAAGGACAGTGGATGGAGTCGCTACCGATGCAAGCTTGTCATCGTGCCTAAAGAGTAACCTTACTCTGTCTGGCGAGCCTGAGCTGGTCCCTTCTCCACATTCATAATGTACTTCGTACACGAAGCATTGCGACGATGCAGGTGATCAACGATTTGAGAGTGCTTGTTTCAAAACATCTAATCTCATCCATGGGTTTTTACCCAAGTTGCATATCTAGGTACCTAGATAGGTATGTGTTTGGTGAGGTTCTAATCAATGCTTTCTCATACATTGTAAGATACATTGTAGAGTCTTACATCTTGGTAATCATCTTGGTAACCATCTTGGTAACAATAACCTTGTTCTGGATAAATTCAACATTTCTGTTGGTAGGAAATTATTCGGATTAAGGTTATCATTCTTCCTGGAGAATTACCACTCCCTCCCGGTATGTGTCCCCTTTTTCATCACACCCTCAATTATATATTGTATTGTCTCTAGGATACCTAGGTATTCGTGATATTCTTCGCATGACATTTTCTCATTCGCAAACAGCGCCAAGTTCAAGCCGCCACTAGTGATCAGCAACCACAATATCTACTTACTTCCCAGACACCAATTACAGCATCCAATCCATCCTCGGGCTGTTCACTTTATCGTTTATCCATCCATGCAGAACAGTGAAGAAACTGATCAATTTATTGGATATCGCGCTCCCTCAGGGCTGAAGCATTCTTACCAATCCAATCCCAATCGTTCACTTTTTATGCACATGCATCTCGCCATCTTCCATGGCATTTGACATACCTACCGACCTACCCAGGTTACCTAAGCTCAAGCTATTTATGTCCACGAACAATCTTCCTACTAGATACCTATTTACCTACCTACCTACCTCTGCCGTGAACCCTCCGAAATATGCAAGTAAGTAAGTACATAAGTTCATCGCTTCCCGCGCACCGATCGATGTACAGCAGTACACTCAACCTCGTATTTGTCGATCCCTCCCTCCCTTCCACACCATCATCACCCATCGCCTCTCCTCCTTCGTAAATCCCCTCATCCTCCCGCGTCTACACCCAAAGTATCCCATCAAATCATCCATCCCATTGCTCCCTTCCTTCCTCACAAGGTACCTCACAAGTGCATCAAAAAGCGCGAGGCCAATGCATCTCATCAGGGGTCGCACCACACCACACCATCTCCTCTTCCCGCATCCATTCTCCCGCGAACATCAATGCTTCTCGGCCAATCAATCCCGCGGACTGGGTTTTCGTCGTCTTTTCCTCATGCATTTACCCTTCCACCGGCGCTTAGAGCCTCCAATCTGTGATGGGAAATGCGTCGTGGGTATCACGCTGCGTGTGGGTACTTATTCGGTATTTATTTTACATGTATAGTTGTTGGGCTCGTTGTGATGAACTATCTACTGTGTACTTTATTGACTATTGGATGGTCGCATATAGGTCGTTTGGATTTCTTTCGGTAGGTAGGTAGGTGGTAGGAAAGTACCTTGTGTATCCATATCGTATGATTAACTACACTATCTACCCCCAAGAAATTCACCATCTGCTTGTTCGTACCTAGATAGAGAATACCAAAACCTTCACCAAAGTACCTACTCATTATACTCCGTACAAATAACTAAATCCCCCAAACCAATCGTTTAATTTCCTCTTCTCGCCCCAAGCACAAGCTTTTCATAATTTCACGCCTGCCCCGAGTACCTTTCTCCTCCCAAGCAACTCCAACTCCTGAATACCATTGTAACTAACAGACCAACTGACTAATCCACAGATCAAATACTCCGTACTGCCCAGACTCATAAATGCGAGACCCCGATCTTCTCCGTCTCAGACAGAATGACAGCGATCTAGGTACACTTCCCTCACCCGTACCTCTGGTTCCCTGCGAGAAGACTGGATATCCTGGATACTTGTATGTTTGTGAGTGTTTATTTATATCTTATAAGTGTTTGTTGTATGATTTGTATTCATATATAGTTATAGTAATAGTAATAGTAGGTATGGAATAGAATAGGATGAAATAGGATGAAATGGGTTTTTGATACATATTAGCCATTCCATAGATTGAAGAGAAACAGAAAGAGAAACAGAAAGAGAGCAGGTAATCAAATACACGATACTCGGGATGGGAATGAATACGTATGTATGTTCGTATATATGTATGTATGTAGTTATGACGACGAGAAACTTGGGTCTTTGGACTTGTGGGTGCACGTGGAAGGGTTGCTATAAATAGATGGGTAGATGGGTAGATGGGTTATATTCATGTTATATTGTATGCTATCTAGAGTTGTTAATCTTTTTCTTTCCTGTATATATTGTAATGAGTTGCTAATATATTATATTATCATCTATCTTTCGAAACGTTTCGAATCTTGGGAAAGATAATATAGTAATCTAAACTAAACTAAACTAAACTCGAATAAAATAAAATAAAATAAAATACTAAATCGCAATCGAAATCGAAATCTACAGATAGGAAAATCCAAGATCCCATCAGCATCATATCACATCACACACATTCAAACCCCCTCCCCTCCCCCCCCCCAAAAAATCTAAAACACGCGCATCAATCTTCAGATTAATCCGAAGCAACTTGATTTCTAAAGATATCACTCCTTTCCCCTGTTATTCATCCGTGCATCGATAGTGTGAGCAAGATAAATAGTAAACATGGTACCCATCTACAGGTATAATAAATAGCATACCGTTGGAGAAATGCGAAACACGCGGATGATTTATCTTCGCTTCGCATGAATGATTTGATGAATTGTGTGAATGGGAATGAGGTGATGTTTGAAGCGGATATTACTCTTTTGGGTATTGTATGCTAGACCTCGGGAGGAGGAGACACAGCCTTATCCGCATTTTGGACGGACGGGGTCTAGGCGCGAGGTGATGGGAAGCGTTATGTGTCCTTCTTTCGTTCTTTCTTTCGATTGGATTTGATTCGATTCGAAGCGATGGGGTGGGTGGGTGTTTGGTAGCTTGCGAGTCTAGGGAGTTTCATATGAGAGGAGGGTTTGAGGGGTTTGACTTGCTTGCTTTGAGTTTACTTTACTTGACTTGACTTGGTTTGACTGCTTGACTTGACTTGACTGCTTGACTTGACTTGACTGCTTGACTTGACTTGACTACTTGACTTGACTTGACTGCTTGACTTTCCTTGACTTGACAGGTGGAGTGAGAAAGTTTAGATGAAATGTTCCAGAATACTCTACCCATTCTACACATACATTCTACTTCGTACGCAGTCTACGATCGCGAAACCCCAAACGAGGTTTGTGAAAAGGGCAAGGATTAGCTTAGCTGGGTCTTATATTTATCGTAAATCAAAAAATGTAGTATACGAACTGATAACGTCGATCTGGCATTATCGATATGAGGATCTGCGGTTCTGGGACGAGGGACGAGGGACGAGGGACGAGGGAGGCTCGGAGGGAAGGGATTCTTGCGAGAAGATATCTTTTGGAAGCGAGCATTTGGCGTGGGAAATTGGGATGTGCGGGTGGGGGAATTGGGAATGGGGAATGAATTGGTGGGTGGCTGCTTGGTTGGTGGGAGTTTATTATATTGAGGATTATTTTTGTATTTTGTATTTAGGTTTTTGGGTTTTTGGGTGTTTGAGTGTTTAGATAAATAGGATATGTAAAAGTTGCTGATATCATATTTATCATATTGATCGTGAGAGAGGGATTTTTCATACAAAAGTTAAACAATAATATTGAATTTCGAAATAAGGAGAAGCTTATGTAGGTACCTAGTTGATCCTCTTTTTTCTTTAGGGGTTCATAATCATTACAGTATTATCGTGAAATGAGAACTCTTGGTAGATGGTTTTATTTTATTTATTTTATTTTATTTCATGGGTGGCTTGGAGCAGATCTTCATTTGATATGGGTATTTATAGACAGATGGGTTTTGATTATGATCATGATTATGATCATGATGATGTAGTAGTGACGGTGGGTCGATCTGTCAGGAAAATAGGGTTCCCGAGAACTTTTTCGGAAGTTTGGAAGTTCGTGGGATCGAAGGAGAGTGTTGAGATGGTAATTTTAATGTGGTTCGATGGCATCGATTAGGTCGTTCGTGGGAGATTCGGTGGGCGGCGAGATATGACTGCGGATTTTGGATCGTGGCGTGACATGCAACATGTATCCACGCATGTTGATGACAAATTATCCATCTCGCAGGAGAGACTTGTGAATCATCTCTGCGGATTCCAGATCGTCGTTATCAGGTATTTCTCAATGTGTCTTGAGATGTCTTACTAAATCGTGTACGTAGACTATGGACGGCATTTCTTCTATATACCATGCTAACATCTCCATAGGATTCCGAGCACATTATTCCAAATATCTCGCGCTGGGGATGTAGTTCAGCAAATGTCGTCTTAAAATCAAGATTGAAAGTGGAAAAAGCAAGTGCTGCCTTATTAAAGTCCATGGAGTGTCTTTGATGAGTCTGGTCTATGAATTATGGTATTACATGAAGGAATTTCAATCCTATCACTCGAAATTATGGCCTGTCGCCACCATTTCTTACTGTCATCTTTTCGTGCATACAATTGCCAATTCGAAGTCGAATAAATATCAGTAATGCAGAATATATTAACCTTCTGCTATCCCTCCAGCGGAATTGGTAGCGACGTCACGATGCTGGCTTCCCGGCATTTTGTGTTTGATTGGTAATTATTTGGGTACGATGTCAGAGTGAAGGGATGGGTGCGGATTTTATACCTGAGACTTGACTCAGAGGGGGTGAATTGAAGAATGATGAGGTAGGAAGAGTGTGCTTCGTTCTCTGGAATTAGAAAGGCGGAGTACCATTATTACTCTGTTTGGATCTCCGCATGTATTGTGTCCTTGGGGGTGTATATAAATCGGTCCCATCACACTTCATACTCAAAAATCACGTAGATACAAAGAGACGCTTATACAACTGGTACCAGGCGAAACCGAGCAGCAGTTGTATACATGGTTAGCAGCAATAATGGCGACGAGTCGATCAGAGTCTATTTCACATTTATCGTAGGATGATTTCACAGTATTATTTATTCTTCCGATGGGGATTTCGTAATGTTGTCGTTCTCAGACCGTGATTACATTACACTTATATGTTCCTCTATTAAATGAATAGAAACTGTTATTTCCATTGCCATTATCCATTCCATTACCAAAGACGTCACAATCTCATTCCTCTTCTTTTCGTTTCTGATGCAAATTCTTCAGTCTCTTTATCTGTCACATCATTCCCTCATTCTATGCTTGAAATGAGAATTCGTTTGATCCTCTCTATTTCTTCCTAGCGAAGCCATGTTCTCTAGACACCTGTATGTTTTGATAAGATAATTTCTAGCCTCATAGATGTGTTTTATAGAGACCTTGCAGACAATTCGAAACCTCCCCCCTCTGTTTTCAAAGCAGCTCATCTCAATTTTTTTCGATCCTTACTATATACTTCAGGCCCCGCAAATTTGTGGCATCTCCACAGGAATGACTCGAAGTCTCGATGTGGGGATATAAAACCACTGATGCAGCCGTGAGAAGAGAGTAGACACAGAGTATGTATAGCCACGACAAGTGACAAGAACTAGGTTGCGGAAATTGATGGGTGTTTCCTTATCACTTCACGATCAGGACTATGAGATTGAGGGGTTTTACTTTTTGTCATGTTGAGCAGTTGGGTTTGAGTACAACCCGAAGTTGGCGATTTCAATATTCTTAGTACTGAGAGTACTGTCAATACTGCTATAATGCTATTGGTGTTATTCTCGATATCGTCACTATTGGTTTTGATGTTATTTCCGATCGTCATCATCCTAGTTTTCCGTCATTGCATGATTCAAACACATCTGTACTTTAACCTCAAGATAACCCCTCTGAAAAACGGAGTGCGAGTAAGGAATGAACAGTATTGCAATATCTATCGAGCAAAGCCAGCTACTCATCTGCTCCCATAGCTTATCTTGATCATCTTTTTCGGCTCTTGGGGAGCTACGATATGAGGTTTAAGAATCTTAAATACTTGATCCTGACGTAGTAAATGTTTGCACACAAAGAATAGAAGAGGTTATCTACATTCTACTTGTTATTACAATCACGAGTAGCGGGGATGGGGAATCTTGCCCATGAATTCACATACATTCCTCTCTTCAACGAGGAGAAAAAAATGAGGCATGGTGTATATAAGTCTCAACAGCACGCCTACGCTACGAAAAGTACACACGAAGAAAGTACATCAAGGGAGATGTCAAGGACACAGATTTACTCGGCACCTTTGCCCCAGACCCAAAACTAGAAAAACAATATCTCATATTCCCCTCGCACCAACCGTCAAACATCGCTGTATCATTCCATAATCACATCCATCCTCCTCATTGTCATTTCCACCAAATACTTGCTATCGTCACTTTAATTCTATTGCCACTTGCACTACGTCAAGAATGAGATGAAACTAGGTATACACACACACGCATGCATAGCCTCGAACGAATGCTCATATACACTTCCTCAGCTTAAAGTACTCGATCATACAAATGCCCTGGATCTCTTGTATTTTTTTGATTCGGGATATACATGCTAATACAAACCCGACATCTTCAGTCTTAAATAGTAGACTCTGAAAATGCGTGAAAGAGGAGCTGCTGAGTGGAGAAACAAAAGAGGGACGATAATTGGATAGTGTTATGTTACATACCCAAAATATAATAGGTAATTCGTTGATTTTGCTGCTGGTTTGCTACTGTAGTTATCTTCTCGGTAGCTTGAAATTGTGTTGTGGGTGGTGAGTGGTGGGTGTATAAATCTACTCACATCCAATTTCAGCTCACCACCCCATGACATCCTTACGCAACAAGAAGACATCGACGATGGTCCAGTTGGTTTTTGTGAATGATGGATGATGGATGGATTTCTTTTCGAAGAGGTTAAGGGGAGTTCCTATATGCAGATTCATGTATGTAAGATATTAATCGTTGTGATGAGTGTATTTACCGTTGTTTTTGATTGTTTATCGTTTTTACTCTCCAATTGTTATCATTTTCCCATTTAGTGCTTCAGATTTCAAATGAGAAAGGGGAGTATAGAAGTGAAATCAGCGGGACCTGGTTGAAAAATACCAATACTTTGATTTCTGAGCGGATTATGTTGTGGTAGGATGGAATGGAATGGAT